GAAACACTAACAGAAAGCAAGTCGCAGCAAAGTTTCTTGGTTCTTAAAAAGCAGCAAGCTATTGAGCTGACACAGGAAGAACTGTACAGTGACATCACTGCAACACCTGGACCCAGGTTCCACATTATTTGAGCAGCTTAGAAGCACTGTAGCTAGTGTTCATTTCACTAGTGTGCACAAATTGCCCCTGTGCGTAGGGCACACAAAACTCTTTAAGTCCTAATTTTTGTCTGTACGAAGTCTCTGCCTTTTTCATTTTTTCCAGTATTTTAATTTTATCAGTTTCATCTTTAAGGGAAACTTCTTATATAGACTGTGTTCTGATGGAGAAAACAAGTACCCCAAGGACTCAGAAGATTATTTCAACAGTTCAGAACCGATGTGTGCAATATTGGCACATGTAATAATGTTGAGTAGCAGTCAAAAGTCGGGATTTTAATCTTTGTTCTCCATTGGAAAGGAAAACTTCTCAGGAAAAATGCCTGACAGTTTAAGAATTATGGTTTGAGTCTTAGAAGGAAATTGGCTTTTCCCCATCAGTAACACTGGCAATCTTCTTGGTAACCTGTATATTCAGGCCTGGTGCCCAGAGATTGTCCTCGAGATCTGTTTTTAAAGTGTAATTCCATCATGACCAAGGGGTGTGAGAAATTGTGTTGTAACTCATCCCCTCAGCTACAAAATGATAGGACTTGGTTAGAAGTGTTATATTTTATAAATCATTCCATGAATCTTTTTAATGAACCTTACTATCCTGAAATCTGTTGTTTTAGTGAGACTCTAAAATGAGCAGAAATAGACTTTTTTTAGAGCAGAATGAACTTAAACATTTATAACTTTCCAGGAACTATAAATAAAAGTTTTAAAAAGATGTTTGGATATATTTGAGTATCTGAATCATGGAAATAGAAATTGCTATGCCAGCTAAAAGGACAGACTGATGGGAAATCATACACCTGGTTAACTTAACCTTTAGGGAGACAATGCTGTAAAAATAATGACTTCTCTGATATTTATTATAAGTTTCATTACTGACCTCTTTTTCCAACACTGCATACTCTGTGTTTGGAACTTTAATAGCTTTGCAACAGAAATCTTGTATCCAGTTTCCTATAATTCAAGTGAAGAGAAACATCCAAATAAAGGGTTTATTATTAACAGACCAGATAGCACCAGAAATCATGTGACAGAAATTATGATTATCAAAATGTCTTAACTTTTAGGGCAAAATTACACTAAAGTTCCAGCTTAAGTGTTGGCACTTTTGTGGGGGAAAAAATCACTTTTGAAACTCAGACTTTAGTGTATACCCAGTAATTTAAAATTAAGTGAAATGTTTTAAATTTATGAACACATAATTACTGTTTTGATGATTCATTTTCTTGAGAATGGTAACTGTTTTAATGATTCATTTTCTTGAGAATGGTAACTTTATTTTCAATATAATGTGCCTAGAAACCATTTTTCTCCCTCTGTAAAAAGACATTGTAGATAATTGAATGTTTGATTATAGAAAAGTCATTAGTTCCTTGTTACACATTTTGTTAGTCTGGTTTTTGTTGCTTATTGGGTTTAATATTGTTCCTGAAAATACTTGATGCTATGTTATGTATAACTTTTCTAATAAAAGTTGTGTTACAACACCATCAAAGTCCTAGAGGAGAACATTGGCAGGAAACTCTCAGATATCCCACGCATCAATTTTTTTACTGATATGTCTCCTAAAGCAAGGGACATAAAGGAAAGAATAAACAAGTGGGACCTCATCAAAATAAGAAGCTTCTGCACGGCAAAAGAAAACATCAGAAAAATGAAAAGGGAGCCAACCCTATGGGAAAATATATTTGCTAATGATACATCAGATAGAGGTTTGATTTCCCAGAATTATAAAGAACTCACTCGACTCCACTCCAAGAAGACAAACGATCCAATCAAAAAATGGGCAAAGGACCTGGGCAGACACTTTTCCAAGGAAGAGATACAGAGGGCCCAGAGGCATTTGAAAGGATGCTCAGCATCACTAGCCATCAGAGAAATGCAGATCAAAACCACCATCAGGTACCACCTCACACCGGTCAGAATGGCCATCATAAACAGATCAACAAACAGGTGCTGGCGAGGCTGTGGAGAAAAGGGAACCCTAGTCCACTGTTGGTGGGAATGCAGACTGGTGCAGCCACTGTGGAAAGCAGTGTGGAATTTCCTCAAAAAGCTGAAAATGGAACTGCCTTTTGATCCAGGGATTCCCCTGCTGGGACTATACCCTAAGAACACCAAAACGTCAATACAAAAGAACCTATGCACCCCAATGTTCATAGCAGCACAATTTACAATAGCCAAGTGTTGGAAGCAACCTAAATGCCCATCAGTAGATGATTGGATCAAAAAACTCTGGTACATATACACAATGGAATACTACGCAGCAGAAAGAAAAAAAGAAGTACTAAACTTTGCGACAGCATGGATGGAACTGGAGAGCATTATGCTAAGCGAAATAAGCCAGGGGGCGAAAGACAAATACCATATGATCTCACCTATAAGCTGAACCTAACCAACAATACAAAGATGCAAGGAAAATAATACCAGCAACACTGAAAGGAAAAGAAATCAACAGAGACAAGAGGGAAGGAGGGCGGGGGGCAGGGAAAGGGAAGGGAAGGGGAAAGTCAAGGAACATATAGCAAGGACTCATGGACAAAACCAAAGGGGAAGAGCTGAGGGAGGGAAGGTGGGAGGGGGCAAGGGAAAGAGGGGGGGGAAGGCAGAGACAAATGTATTTAAAAAGTAAATAAATTAATTAAAAATAAAAAAAAAAGGTAATGTAATGTTTCATTCCAATGTATACTCTGTTAAGCAGCACATGAGTTCTGGGGTCTCAGATCTGAACCATATCTGCGTGATGGGGCTCTCAAAGAGCTCAGAATCAAGCAGATAGGACAGAGAATAAACCAGTAAACAGAGAGTTCTCGCCCAGTTTGTTAAGTACTCTGACAGAACCATGCAACAAAGTAAGGGGGAAGAAAAAACTAATTAACTTGGGGTGACCTGAGAAGGTTTCTTGGAGAAAGCAGCATTTGAACCAGTCCTTTTAGGAGGGCACACCTCTTACAGGAAGGCATGTGGGGGCTGGAGTGGAGAAGAAAGGCATTGCAGGTAGAGGAACAGCGTGAGCAAAGGTATGGCATTGGCAGAAGGCAGAACATGTTTGGGGGATGGTAAGTCATCGACTGTGACTGAGGCCTCTGAGAGACTGGCAAGGGCCGATCGTGGAAGGCCTTGAACAACAGGCTAAGGAGCTTGCATTTAAGTCTTCAAGCCAAGAGATCCCTTGGAGACTGTAGGTATGGTCAGCTTTGTGCTTTGAAATGTGACTGTGAGAGCCTCTGTGGGAATGGAGTGGACTGGAGCAGACAGTAAGCAGGCACAGTAGAGTAGGGTTTGAGTGGAGCCCAGAGGAGCACAGTCCCCTGAGCGGGAACCGAGGAATCAAATAGGAATGGGGATACACGGTCGGGGACAGAGAAGTCAACTGGAAAATAGGAGAGACTGATTGCTGAATAAGAGGCAGTGAGCAGAAAAGAGACCACATCGAGGAGAAAGGAAAGGTGGAAGCAGGGAGCGGGAAGGAGGTTGACAGGCAGGGAAGAATACCCCTCTGGAGGCGGAATGAGGCAGGCCCACTTCCGGCTGGGAAGGGGGCGTGGACTGGCTTAGACCCAAGGAGAGGCTTGGAGAGAGCAGATGCCTTCTGGATTCAAAAGGACAAGGTGAGCTAAGGTGCACAGCTTTCGTGAAAACTCTGTGGGTCTCTTCTGGCTGCAGCTTCAATGTGTTTGATTCCACATGCTGCTAAATTTGGAAGGAAACATCCTAGGCGTTTGAGAGCTAACAGCATCTAAGTGGTTGGGTTTAGAGATGCCGGGATCCGTTTCGCAAGGGAGAAAGGGGGAGGCAGAATTTCCTTTGGGCCACTGAATGGAAAGACTTGGACTCTGTTCAGGCCACAGAAAGGAGGGATGCAGACTTGTTTGGTATTGCAGAAAGGAGAGATCAAGAAATAATTCAGGCGGTAGAAGGGACGGAGCAGAACCCCGTTCTGGAGGGAGATAAGCGATGGCAGGAATCCTTAAGCCTGGAGAAAAAAAAAAGGTCAGAATGATTTGGGTTAGAAAGTAGGGTTGAGGACTTGGGAGAAAGGATGGGGCTGAATGAACAGCTTTTGAACAGCTGCAAGGAGCAGGGTCAGACAGGCGAGAAGAAGGGCTATACGCAGTAGATTCTTGTTTGAAAAAGGAAGGGACAGAACCTGGTAGGTTTTGGGAACAAGGAACACACAAACGCATAATATCTTTGGCGTTGTGGGTGAAGTATCTGTTGCAGAAAGGTTGGGACTGGTCCCTGGGGGATTGCTTTTGGGGGAAGGGGCGGTGCAGGGACTTACTGCAGAACAGAGGGAGGAGGCATTTTAAAAGAAAGGGGAAGTGCAGAGAGGTACTGCAGAGCGGAGGGAGGGGGCATATAGGAAAGGTGGGGTGAGTAGCTGTGTGGCTGAGGAGAGGTGGGCGGTGTTGGGCAAGGGGCAGTGCAAAGAGGTACTGCAGATCGGAGGGTGTTGGCTGTTGGAGTGGGGTGGAGCTTGTGGGATTGAGGTGGTCGGACTGTCTGGTTCACCGAAGCCGCCTGTGCGTTGAGGTCCTGAGATGGGCGGGGCCATAGGTGTTGCTCATGCGCAGTATCGAGTTGCGGTAGAATGTAGGGTAAGGGGGCGGGGTGGTAGAACTGACTCATGGCTTTTTAGACGCAGAAGGATGTAGATTTTAGAAACCAAATGGTCTGGGTTTCTAGGTATGAAAACCCATTAGGCAAAGGGTTTGGGTCCCAAGATTAGATGAAGTTTCTCTCTAATTCAGAAAGTCTGATGAGTCTCCCCCTCCCTCTCATTCTCCCCTAACTCAGACCCCTTCCTCTCAGGTTCAGCTGTTATTTGGCCTCCCAGAAAAATGGATAGGAGAAATAACTACGGTTATAGGACGTCCGCGTTCCAGGTGAGGCTTCTCTGCCTTCTTGCCAGGCCAGCTGCCGCATCTTGAGTTCACTTCTTGCTTTGAGTCTCCTACCATTCCATAGTTGCATAATTTCCTGCTTAGCGTGTTTCAGTCTTCCCCTGCATGGTGGAGGAAGAACAGAAAAAATACACCCTGGGTCTTTTGTTGCTCTCTCCCTTTTTCCTCACCCTCCTCTTCAATCACTGCTCAGACAAGGGGAGACCTTCATGGAAAGGGGTGGGCTGTAGGGAGGTCAAATGGATCAGCAGATCATAATACTAAGTGTGTAGGGCCCTGTGCCTCCCCATGGGGGCTTGGGGCTTCACTTCCCTTAGGATGTACAGGCTGAGACCACTGAAGAAGACAGTGTCTTGCTGATGCATACCCTCTTGACGGCAACAAACAACCCCCTGACTATGGATCCCTCAGTTGCCAACCGGCCTAAGAAAAGCAAGACCAAGAAGGCCCCTATTAAGGCTAGTATGAAGACAATACCTGCTGCCTCTTCACTCCCATCTTCCAATGTGCTTACCATCAACAAACCCAAAATACCTTTGCAGGTTTTAAAACTGCAAATCAACTCCCAGTTCAACCAAGTTTCAGCTACCACAGAGGCAGCCAATATTCAGGCGTCTTCAGTCACCACTCAGCCTAAGAAAGCCAACGAGGCAAAGAGAGTTACTCCTAAGACACCCCAAAGGCCTCAGTCTCCAACTGGCAGCGAGAGTGTCACTACACAGATCAAGTCACTCTTGCAGGCCCTATAACTACCAGTCATCCAACAGACTATCCAGGTTCCACTTGCCAGTGAGTCAACCAATTCCCAGACCTTAATAGCCTTCACCAAGCCTAAGAAAGCTTTGAAGGCTAAGAAGGCTGCCAATAAAGCAATATATAGTGCTGCTGAGATCTCACTGGCTTCAAACACCACCCACGTAGCTACCACCCAAGATCAAATTACCAATGAGACAACCAATACTCAGGTCACAGCAGCCTTCATTCGAACTAAGAAAGCCTCTAAAGACAAGAAGTCAACAGTTAAAGGCACAAATACTGACACTGAGCTTCTAGGGGCCCCAAACACCATTGAGAGAGATATCAGGCAGATTGAGACCTCAGCAGCAGCTATCCAGACCCAAAAAATCCAAAAGCAAGAAGGCTGCCAATAATTGCATAAATTTTGCCTATGAGTTTTCTGAGGCCACAACCCAAGAAAAGCTCTAGCAGCTACCCTCTAGGTCAAAAGAGGGCTTAGGGCTTGGGAGGCTGCCACCAAGGCCTGGGCAGCTGAAAACAGGACTCAAATTGTTGACCAAGGAGTCCAGGCCAAGATGGCCAGCTCTCAGACCAATATAAGTGCCATTGAGACTCAGGTTGCTGCTGCTCTCCAGGCCCTGGCAGATGACTGCCTGGCTCAGTTGAGTCTGGAGCCCACAACCAGGACCCGGGGCAAGAGGAACCAAAAGGTGAGATGTCTAATATCACCATCCTTAAATTCACATTTGGTTTTTATTCCTGTCCTCTTAGTTTGTTCATTTATTCTATAAAGTTTTACTGAGTGTTTTTACTCTGAGACAGTCTTCGTCTTCAGATAGGCTGTGAGAGATGCTGAGAAGAATGTGATGTATTGTAGTTTCTGCTCCCTGGCAGTTCACAGATTGATGGGAAAATAAGACATCCATACACTTAGATACAACCTGGGAATAATGCAGTGTGTATTTAATTTACATAGTAATTACCATATGCCAGGCTTTGGGTTGGGTACAGTCACACAGGCTATGTTTTTATGTTTTGAAAGTAACTCTTACCAGCTAGGGGTCACAGATAAGAAAATTTAGCCACATAGAGAAGAAAAGACTTGTCTGAGGGGTACAGCTAGTAGAGTTAGTGGTGGCCAAAAGAAGAAAAGGAACTCCAGGCTCCACCTTTGGATTGCTCCTTTCCTAGCAAGGAAATGAAATTCCTGCCTGGAAGGCAGTGAAAGACACATCTAAGACTCAGGGTGGCCAAAAGTAAGATCAGGACCCACAACAGGGAGGGTTTAGGGGACTTTCAGGAGAGGCAGCGTAAGGAGACAGAGCCATCTCTTTCACCTGGTGCCTCTGGACCTTCCTTCTGATGATGCAGTTCAAGCATCTGAATGGGGATGAGAGAGGTTGCCGTAATTACAGGTTGATCCCATGGGGCCAGAGGCCTCCATCACCCTGATATGTGGCCATTTTTCAAGAAAGGATAAGAATCCTATGCTTCCCAGTCTTTTCTTCACCTGCTCTCTTCTCTGTCATTCTTCCAACTTTTCTGAAAACATACTGAGATTTCCCCATGTATTTCTTTTCTCCCAGACAAATAAGTTGGTGAAATATCTGTTGGTTAAGGACCAAAGATCCCCATCAAGTGCTCAGGTAGAATAATACCAACCCTCTTCCCTGAACTCTCTTCTCCATTCCCCTCTTCCCCATGGCCTGGGGGTAATCATTTACCTTTGTGGCCTCCTTTCTCTCTCATATGTCTTCCCCTACTCTACTCGCACTGTATTAATGGCATCTCCCATTGAACACAGTTTAAGACTCAGACTACACTGACCCCACAGTGCTAGCATAGGGCTGCTGCTCTGTTGCCTCATGTAAGTCCAGTTGCTCCCATCTACCCCCTCCTGCAGACATGCTGAAGGATGTCATCCAAAAATATGATGAATATTTCCCAGAGATCATTGAACGAGCAAGCTATGCTCTGGAAATGGTGAAGGAGTAGCCCTGGGGGATGGGCACAATGGTGAAGACTTGAATTGAGCAAAGGTGTAAAATGTCCCTTCTGTGGGGACCACAGAGACTCACTAAGCCATCCCTTTCACTTTGCAGATGGGCAGATGGTGGCTTAGGGAGATGTACAGACTTTCCAAGAGTCATACAACAAGTCAGGGGTAAGGGCACAGCTAGGACTTAAGCCACCCAACTTAGTCCTGGCTTCTGTCTGCTTCTGGACATGTCCTGGAATGTATCTCAGATGCTCACCTCTTCCTTCCATTTGCCATTCTCTCTCTGCCTGCATTCCTACTAATTACAAAGGTAGTGTTGATTATAATAGCACACTTGTTGCCTGTTTGCTGTGTACTGGCCTCATAGATAAGTACTTTATGTACATTATCTCACTAATTTCTCCCCCCCCACAACTCCTCCCCCCAGGTACACAGGGAGGTGTAGGGTGCTCAGGAAGCTCATTGCGTAGGCTGATTTTGTAATCTCACAGGTTATTCTTTTACTTGGCAGATGTTTCGAGTCAATCTGAAGGAAATTGATAAGCAGAGTAGCTTGTATATTCTCATCAGCACTCAGGAATCCTCCGCAGGCATACTGGGAACGTAAGCTGGGGAAGGTCTGGGGTGGGAGGGAGGCTTCTGTTTTTGTCCATGGTACTACCCCATCCCTGTCCTCTCTCCACACACCTTCTTGGAGAGTCAGGAAAGACAGGGCCTGAAAAGCCTCTGTTCTAGCTCCTGCATGTAGTTGGAACCCTGCGCACAAAAGTGGTGCCTGATTATGATTGACTGAAGGGTGTAGAAGGCTGGGGTGGGGCATTCCTACTGTCAGGTCGTCTGTCCAGAAGCTTCCCAGCAGAGCAGACCTGTCATTGCTTGTCTTTTCCTACTGGCCTTGGTAGAGTAGTACTCAAGGGAGGGCTTTCTGGTGTGGGTGGGTCATGATGCTCAAAGAGCAGGATCATCAGTGGGCTATGCCCAGAATTCTCTTGTGGCTGAGAGTTCTGGGAGAGAAAGGAGGGACTCACATTGACTGAGTGCCTGTGTCATACCAGGTTGCTAGGATTTCTTCCATCCTCTTCAGCAACCTGGGGAGGGGAGGATGTGATTTTCCCATTTTACTGAGTAGGAGACCGAGTCTAAGTGTCTTGCCCAGGTTCACATAGAGCTTCAAGAATAGACTGGGCAGAACTCTCCTGTACCTGAGGAATCTGGGAGAGTCTAGCCTAGTGAGCTGGCTGGTGTGTGTTGTTTTTTTCTTTTTTTTCAGATGTGTGCAGGACATAAATACTGTCTTTGTCCTATTGTTTCCCTAGGACCAAGGATACACCCAAACTAGGTCTTCTCATGGTGATTCTGAGTGTCATTTTTATGAATGGCAACAAGGCCAATGAGGGTGAGTGGCCGGGCATGCAGCTGAATGGGTGGCTACTGTTGGAATTCCACGTGTTCATTTTCTATCCCTGTCTCCTCTGCCCCCCTTGCAGCTGTCATCTGGGAGGTGTTGTGCAAGTTGGGGCTGCACCCTCGGTATGATTGGGCTCTCTCAGTGCTTGCTATCCATGTTGTCCTTTGGCAAGAGAGGATGGTCTCAGGATTGCATCAGCTTGGTGGTCTGGTGGAGCGGGCTGGGGTGCTGGACTGGGTAGAGGGCCCATGGCTCTGACCTGGGTGGGTGAGGAAATCATTCTGACCTCCCTGCTCCCTCTCTTCACTATGTCCCCTGTCTATTTTAAGATGAGATATAAGATAGACATTCAGGACATCCCTGACAAAGAGCCATTTGGCTTCAGCTGCCTGCTTCTAGTGACCATGTATAAGTTTACTACTTTTCTGGTTTCATTAAGATAGCCACACATGCTAGAAGGGTCTCTTCCATGCTAGAAAATGCCTCTGCCCTCATCTTGGAAGTTCTGATCTCAGTTCATGGGTTATTTTCCCCTCGTCATAGTGAGGCACCGACTCTTTGGGAAAGTGAGGAAACTCATCACAGATGAGTTTGTGGATGAATTTGTGAAGCAGAAGTAAGGGGTGTTTTAAGGCATCGTCAGTCCCTGAAGTGTTTTGGGTGTGTTGGTCTTGTTCAGAAAGTGCTTGATAAGCCCTTTCCTTACACTAGTTTTACAGGTATCAGCATCCTGTGCTGTAAAACTGAGCCCTGTCCACAGTTCTCATGGGTGACCATTCCAGAGCTGGGCCAGATAAAAAACAAGGCCTTTATTACCGGGTGTACTCAGAGCAGGGTGCCTGAAGAATGGCTCCTCTGTTTACAACACACCCAACAGGAACTTGGGTTTACTCCTCACAGGTGGCAGGATACTTTGGCCTTCCTGTGACATCATGCCCTATACATGCCTCCCTTGCAATACTAAGCGACTACTTTGCATGTAGCTAATGGGAAAGGGATTCATATTGGAGGTCAAGACCATGAACTGTGTTTGGGAGTGAATCTGAGGAGGGAAGGTGTTGGAAATCTTTCTCCAGGAGCTGGGTTTAGTATTTGTTTGAAGGAGGTTGCCACTGGTATACAGTGGTTAGACAACAGATTTGTTTGTTTAGAAGGAAGTTTCATTTCCTTTCTCCAAGGTACCTGGAGTACAGGAAAGTCCCCAACAGCAGACCACCTGAATATGAGGTCTTCTGGGGTTTGCGCTCCTACCATGAGACTAGCAAGATGAAAGTCCTGAAGTTTGCCTGCAAGGTAATAGGAGACCTTCTGTGACTTGATATATTAAAGGTAGGGGTTGCCCCTTATGGGGGCAAGCTATGTGCAAGGATGGGCAGGTACAGGGAAGCCTTCAGTTCCTATATAAACATATGGAAGTTCATTTTGTCATTATGTTGAGGATGCTGCTCAGCATAAAGTACATTGTTTTATTCATTCTTCATATTTTGTATTAGTATGTTCAGAATGTTATAACAAAACAAACTGGGTGGCTTAAACAACAGAAATTTATTTTTTCATAGTTTTGGAGGCTGGAAGTCCCAGATCAGGGTCTAGCAGTGTCAGTTTCTGGTGAAACCTCTTTCTCCACTGGCTATGTCCTTCTTGCTATGTCCTCACATGGTGGGAAGAGAACCTCTTTTTTTGGGGACACTAATTCTATTGGATCAGAGCTCTACCATTATGACTTCATTTAACTTCACCTTCATACAGGCCCTATCTCCAAATACATTCACAGTGATGGGTGGTACGTTAACATATGAATTTGGGGGAAGGGCACAACATTTAATCCATAATGTATATTTACTCTCTTACCATTTCCCAAATTACAGATGAAGACGGGCTCAGTGAGGTTAAGTGACTTATTCAAGGTCACCCAGCACCTAAGTTATTAAAGCTGAAATTGGATCTCAAGACTGATCCATGAAAGAGCCCCAGAAATGAAGAATAAAAAAAAAGTACTGCTATTGGTTTTATACAAAGCCCATAATATGTACTTAATACGTCATTATAATGTTATTTTCCTTATAATGATTATCATTCCCATTTCAGGTGCAGAAAAGAGACCCCAAGGACTGGGCTGCTCAGTACCAGGGCGCAGTGGAGATGGACGTCCAGGCTGCAGCTGTGGCTGTAGCTGAGGCTGAGGCCAGGGCTGAGGCAAGATCCCAAATGGGAAATGGAGAGGAAGCTGTGGCTGGGCCCTGGAATTGGGATGACATGGATATCGACTACCTAACAAGGGAAGAGTTAGGCGATGATGCTCAGGCCTGGAGCACATTTTCATTTGAAACTGAGGCCATAGCCCAAGAAAATGCAGATGTCAGCACCAACATCGACTTCAGCAAAGGAGCTAGCACCAGAGCTAGCTTCCACAATGGTGTTAGTGTTAGCTTCAGTGGTGTACCCAGTCCCAGTGGTGGCTTTGGTGACAGAACTGGCATTAGCTTTGGTGGCACACCCAGCACCAGTGCCAGCTTCAGCAGTGCAACCAGCATTAATTTTGGTGGCACACCCAGCACTTGCTCCAATTTCAGTGGTGGAGCCAGTGTTAGCTTTGGTGGCACACCTTGTACCAGTGCCAGCTTCAATGGTGGGGTCAGTTCTAGTTTCAGTGGCCCACTGATCACCAGTACCAGTTTCAGTGATGGAACCAGCTCTGGCTTTGGAGGCACACTGAGCCCCACAGCTGGCTTCAGTGGTGTGCTCATTACTAGTGCCTGCCTTGGCAGTGCACCCAGCACCAGCGTGGTCTTTAGTGGTGCACTTAGTACCAGCACTGGCTTTGGTGGCACACTCAGTACCAGCGTCTGCTTTGGTGGCCCTCCCAGCTCTAGTGCCAGCTTTGGTGGCACACTCACTACTAATATCTGCTTCGGTCGTTCTTCTAGCACCAGCGCTGGTTTTGATAGCATACTCAGCACCAGTGTCTCCTTCACTGGATCGTCCAGCACCATTACTGACTTTCACGGTATACTAAGCACCAGCATCTGCTTCAGTGGCTCTCCCAGTACTTGTGGCAGCTTTGGTGGTGCAATCAGGACCAGTGTTGACTTTGGTGGTGCACTCAACACCAGTGCTGGTTTCAGTAGTGCTGTCAGCACTAGCACTGGCTTCAGTGGTGTACCCACCACCAACTCTGGCTTTGGCAGTGTGTTCAACACTAGTGCTGACTTCAGTGGAGCACTTAGCACCACTACTGACTTTGCAAGTTCTCCCAGCACCAGCATTGGCTTTGGTGGAGATCCCAGCACCAGCCTCTGCTCTGGCAATGTGTCTAACACCAACCTATGCTTCGGTGGCCCTCCTGGCACCAGCACCTGCTTCAGTGGAGCTACCAGTGCCAGATTTGTTAATGGACTTAGCACCAGTGTGGGTTTTAACTTTGGCAATGGGTTAACTACCAACACTGGGTTTGGTGGTGGTGGACTGAGCACCAGCACTAGCTTCGGTGGTGGACTAAGTACCTGTCCTAGCTTCAGTGGTGGACTGAGCACCAGTGCTGGCTTTGGTGGTGGACTAATCTCCAGCGATGGCTCTGATGGTAGACTGGGCGTCAATGCTGGTTTTGGCAGCACACTTGGCACCAGGGCTGGCTTTAGTGGTAGCCTCAACATCAGTGATGGCTATGGTGGTGGGCCTAATACCAGCTTCGATGGAGGATTGAGTAGCATCATTGGCTTTGGCAGTGGTTTCAACACCAGCATTGGCTTTACTGGTGAACCCAGCACCAGCATTGGCTTCAGTGGTGGACCCAGCTCTATCGTTGGCTTCAGTGGTGGACTGAACACCAGTGCTGGCTTCAGCGGTGGACTGAGCAACAGTGCTGCCTTTGGTGGTGGAGCCACCAGCCTTGGTGCCTGCAGTTTCTCCTATGGCTAGTGAGGTTTCAGGTAATTACAGCATTTCCACAGCTAAGGCCCATGGGTATTAATATAAGTGTTGGGAGATGTTATAAGAAACCCCAAGGTGGGAAGGCAGGCTGGGAAAATGAGGACAATGGGAGAAGTATGAGAAAACTGTACATTTGGTGCTAATATATATTCCTTTTTGGTGTTTTGTGTTCAGGTTTATTTCCCATGTTTACAGATATCACTAGTGAGTTGCAGCAGTCCTTCCTTCCCATGGAGCCAAGGTACATCCTTGGAATCTTTGTTCACCAAGCAGTCTAAGCAAAAAGCAAATACTACCAATCAGCTGAAGTTGGCATGCTATGAAAAATTTGGTTGCCAATCCTGCTTTATTGTTTGCTTTTTGTGTACTGTCATATTTTGGTATCAGAGTTACATTAAATTTGCAAAATGAATTAGAGTTTTTTATAATTGTGCTTAGGTTGTGAGTAATATTTTGGGTTCATAGAAGAGCTAGAGATCAGCATAACTCTTGAGGGAAGGGTGGGCTAAAAGGCCAGGTTAGGCTAAAAGGCAAGTATGACTTCAGTGGGATAGAGACCTGGGGAAAGCATGGCATGCAAGGGGATAAGAGCTTGAACAAAGATGTGGAGGGGGAAGGCCTGGAACAGAATGCAGAGGGAGAAGGTTCTGGATAGTAATTATAGATTCATTTTAGAGATGTTTCTATAAGAATGGAAGGAGAAAGAGGGAGATAACTAGAAGTGGACATAGAAACAAGTGAGGGTTTTATTGGGATAGGAGAGAGGCTCTACCATATTTTATAGACCATGGGGTCAACAGAGAAGGACAGTAGATAGAAAAGGAATAGTCAGGAATTGACTGAAGTAGTGCATCCCTGAGAAGGTGGGATGGCATAGAGTGCCAGAAAATAGAGGATGACTCTGACTTTGAACAGGATTTAAGGCTGGCTGTGGAAGCAGCTAAATGTAGATTTTCTTCAAGCAGTGATCAACCAAAAAAAGTCATGTGGATTATACAAGGTTTGGGTTGCTGGTGGTTGTGATGTAAGGACAAAGGAACAAAGGCAGTGAATGTATGAATGTTTTTCCAGCACTGGGTTGCTGGGACCTGCCCAGGAATACTATGTGCATGCCTACTGTGTAGGAGGCATGCTGCTAGGGATCTTGTGGATGACACAGAAAGGTGTAAGGACTAGGGGCCAGTGGTCAGACACTGGTATGCTTATATTTAAGAAGTCAGACTTGGGAGAAGTCTACATGATGTCAACATCCATGGAATGGGTGATCAATGGAGTTGAGTGGGGCTGGGAAGCCAGGGTATTGTTTGGATTATTTATATGGACAGTGATAACACTCAGAGTGGCAGCAAGAATTGGAGAAGAGAGGAGTACTGTGGTCCAAGAACAGCTTCTCTGAGTATAGGGATGATGGTGCCAAGCCCCCAGCCACACTGCTCACCAAAGAACAAGGCCAACAGGCAGTTACAGGGATCTATCTCCTACCTCACTTTTGGAGGTGCTACCCCAGGACTCTTTCTGCCAGGAAGCTCTCTCCCATTCCACACCCCCACAGTACTAGAGACACTTTACAGGGTCAGGATCTTAAGAAGATCCTGTGGGAGAAGCCTCAGAATGACCATCTCTCCCCTCTTAAAGGCAGCAAGAGAAGTTTTCATTGCTCAGGGAATGCAAATTAAGAAAAAAGTTTCATCCAGAACTAGACAGCTCCTTGGTTGTAGCTAGAAATCAAGACCTGTTTTAGAACTGCTGAGGGCCTCTTCACTGAAAGCAGGACTCTCCCAGTGAAGCCAAATCCAGTCTTCTCAGTGTAGAAGAAGAACAAAGGTAGAAGCTTCTAGAGGTGGAATACAGTGAGGAAAGAGGTAGTTTGGCCTCCTGGAAAGGACTCAGTAGTGGGCAGGGACGGTGTCCAGGGCTTCCTCACGTTCTCGGGTAACGTCCACATTCTGAGAGGAGAAAGCCCAACATTAATAGGAAGGAGACAGCAGTGTGGAGCCCCAGTACATCCCGGGTCTGTTCTCCTCATTACTAGGCTCTCCTCCAGCCAACCCTGGATCCTGACGCTTTTCTCAGGCAAGTCTGGGGGAATTAGCCTGAGGCCTTTTTGGCAGGGGTTGCTCTAGCCTTGCATCTCCATGGTGCCTCCAAGTCTGGGCTGTGGTTCCAGCATTTCTGGGTGCTGGCTATCTGCTTGATGGTGCGAAACACCCAAGGTCTGTGGGACTGGGGTGGCCTCTCAGTGCAGGAGGGTGCTTTTGCCATATGCCCGCTTAGGCCACGAAGTCCCTCACTTACCTCAGGCTTCTCCCGGTGTGTGTTTACGGCCTCCACATTCAGGTAGATGGACTCCACTTTGCAGCCTCAAAAAGAGCAACCCGTCTACCCATAAACCCTTAGGAAAGCACAGGTCTCCCCTGAGCTTTCAGCCTCCCTTACAGCCTCCATGACCACCCACACCCCCAGCTCCTTGCTGCATGCAGTTGTGACTTCCCTGTGGGGAGGGGAATGTAGACCAGCTGTGTGATGTGTGGGGAAGACACCAGGCCTAAGAAGCAGCCAATGGGACATCCTCCTAGCTCTTCCCCTAGTAGCCTCAGCATTCTCTGAGCTCCCATTGCTCAATTGTCGGTGGGAAGATGAAAAGAGATCATCTCTTGGGCCTCCCCCAACTCTTGTGGTTTGGGACACAGCGATCTATAATGTATATAATGATGGAGCTCTGTGGATCCTCCAAGCTGAGTCAGGTGGTGAAGTGGTGGAAGGGTCCTGGGGCCACTGCCTTGGGACCATCAGTCCAGGTAAAGTTTATTTAGAGGACAATGGTTATGGCAACATCAGAGGTTTGGAATGTCATAAGGGAGTTTTGGGGAGCCTAAAGCAAGAGGAAGGTGGTATCATCGGGGCCTGGTGCTGGCAGAGGAGGCCCAATGCCTATAGAAACCCCCTCTGTATAAATCTGTCTCTGGATTGCACTCTACTCTGGGCTTCAGTACACCAACTGCCCTGTTCACAGTCCAGAAGAGATTTGAGACTGTCTCTTCCCTGCTCACGAACAATTCACACCTAACTAATGCCCCAAGAGAAAATCTAAAGTACTCAGGCTAGCCTTTGAAACCTATCTTAAATCTGGCCCCAACATACACTTGTTCCTCTGATCCCATCTGGCAATAACCCACCCCAGCTACAGCTTGGTGCTCTATGCTCAGTGCTCTGCTAGAGACAGAGAAAGTAGGGGCTAGGACCCACTTTCTTTAGTGGCCACCCCAGTTTTTCCCCATTCTTATCTTGCGACCACCAGTCCCACCTCTACTAGCAGTCAATTACCCACCCAGGAAACCTCCACCACGACTCTACTGGGCAAATGGTACACCTGGAGGCATACTTATAGCCTCTAAGTGCCTTTTCCTAGATGAAGGTGGAGACTCTCACCATACGCCACAGGTGTGAGTTTGAGCACTGTGTGCAGAGGGCACTTGAGATATGGCAGTTCATCTGGAAAGGAGGAGAAGGCAGCCATCAGAGACAGGGTGCCAGGGAGGTCACCAAGTCCCCAGGCCTGTAGGCTTACAGCACTCTCCCCTGTCCACACCCCTTCCCCACGGCCGTCCCCCCAGGGGCCCACTCCCCCAACATCCTGCAGGGCAGTCAGGGAGGAAGAGAGCAGGGAGGAGGCTGGAGGGCCCTGGGGAATGCAGCCAGACTGTGGGTCCCCCAGGACAGCCAGGCTCGTCACCTTGGAGGTGGCCCACCTCCTCCCTCACAGGGCTGCCGTGACACCAAGGCAGGCCTCCCACCTTCCCCCAGCCCCGGGCCTTCCACAGGCTCCCCAAGTGTTTCCTGAGAACCTACTGCGCACCGGGCCCTCAGATGAGGTGTGTGGGCACCTGGGCAGCTCCACAGCGTTTTTCCCCACACAGGCCTGTGCCCTCGGACTCCTCTCACTCTTGGCGGTGGACAAGAATTCCTCGGTTCACTTGTTTCCAGTTATTGACTAGTACGCATACAGTTTTCCGACTGCTCCCTTACCATGTCCTGTACGGGCCTATGTGTTGTTTACCAGACATCCCTGAGGGGAGGGGATGATCAGGCCCATTCCACGGATGAGGACAGAGGCTCCGAGAGCGAAGACGCCCGCCCTCAAGCACACAGCCGGGAAGAGGCAGCGCTGGGCCTGGCACCCAGAACCCTCTGAGTTCAGAGGTGTGCTCTGCTCACTGCACTCTGCCGCCACTGCCTCCAAGGGGCTCAACAGTGTCTTGGGGGTGATACCTCCCCCTCTCCTCACTCTCCGATGACACCCACCTGCCCGCATTCCCAGACTGCCCACACCACTCCCCATCTCCCTTCAGTGAGCCAGAACCCGCCCCCCCCCCCCCCCGCTCATGGCTTCCCACCCCTGAGGTTCCCCCTACACGGTGAAGGGTCCTGCCAATGCCATCCGTCCCAGCCCCTGGAAACATCTGTTTTGGCACTTTCCTGGGCATCCATTCTGCTCCTCCTCCTCCTCTTCCTCGTCTTTGTCACCATCACCGTCAGGCCCTGGGCCCGGCACTTTGGTGCACTGTCTCCTTCCAACCTCGCCGATACTCTGCGATTACCTAGTTACTGTTCCTCGTGGCACACATGACGGAACAGACTCACAATAGGGAACCCACTTGCCTGAGGTCTCTGGCCCCGCTCAGCCACCGCCTCCACAAGTGGCCTGGCCCTGCCTTCTCTCTCTCTGGCCCTTAGAGGTCCCACCTCTCACAGCGTGGGATTGGACTAGGCTACTCTGAGGGTGTCCCAGCTCTGTGGTCCGGTGGGCCAGCATTCTTAGTCACATCATCTCTCTGGGCCTGAGTTTCCTCACCTGGGTAATAGGGGTAGGAGCATGTGCTCAGCCTGCTGGGCTCAGCTCCCAGGGCAGCTGTGAGCAGCTGGTGTGTGGCCCCCGCATGAAAACAAGTAGGAAGTGGGTAAAGTAGTGTGCAAATAAACAGGATGTGCACCTGCTGCTGACACGCTCATTGCATGGCTGGGGGTAGGGGTGGGGAAACACATCTAGAACTTATCTGGGGTTGATGTCCCTCCCAGCCCTTCTGAGCCCCATGACCTAGGTAGGGTCAGTCACTTTACCTCTCAGAGCTTCCATGTCCTCATCTGCACAGTTGGGTTACAGTGCCTGCCTCACAGTCTCAAAGACAGCACCAAGCAGTAGCTATGTGAATAGTATCAGAAATCTGCTAACAAAAGGACTCCCACCTCAATCCCCATCACCTTTTTCCAGTGAGGAGATTGAGGACCTGGCAGAGGAAATGATTTGTCCACTGTCAAGTTCTCGAGTTCCCTGGGTTCCAATTCTGGAACAATGTAGAAATGATACACATCTGCAAACATTGCACACTTCAGATATGGCTTTGCTCTATCCTTACACACCCTCATAGTGTCCGGGAGATGCCAATACCACAGCATCCACATCAGAAGTGTAATCTCACACCCAAGGATGGCACAACAGTCCCTAGCCAGGCCATCTGCCCTAGTTTGTGATTCAGTATATGTAGTCAATGTATAAATACTCTGTAAATTACAATGTTTACATATTTTTTAAAAAGAAATCATTTAAATTTTTAAAAATGAAAACAGTATTTTGAGGAAATCATCTCTATAGCAAATATAGAAAAATATAATCAAAATCATGAGGCCACAAAAGGTCCATTACCACCTGATGACAGCATGCTTCAGAGAAATACTGGCTCAGCTTTTCCAGAATGAGGCATACTGTTAAGGTTGGCTTTGAAGACATTAGCTAAGAATGGTAGTAATACTAATAATAGCACCTAACATTTATGTAGCTCGTGATATGTGTCGTGAAATATTCTAAACTATTAACAAATGTTGATTTATTTAAACTTCATCATTATTCTCCCCATTTTACAGATGAGGAAACTGAGGTCAGAGAGTTTAGATTACTTTGCCAAAGCTAGTATGTTATTGAGCAAAAACTTAAACTCAAGCATCTTTGTTCTAGATACCATGCTCTTGACTACTAAGATATAAACCACCAATTGCTACTGTCAGGATCTCACATCACACCCAACTCCCCTTGCCAGGAACAGAGAGAACAGTGGTACCTGAGCTCTTATCCAGGAAGTAGGCTAGGAGGCACCGCATGACAGCCTGGTGACAGATCACCAGTACATTTTCCTGCCGTTCTAGCTCCATTATAACTGGCTCCAGACGCTGAACCAGATCCTCATAGGACTAAAAATAAGAAAAATACTTGAGTAATAAAGGGAGATGAAGCATATTTACCTAGAGGAGAGGAACTCTAGACTAGGAATCAGGAAAAATTGGTTGCCGTGCCAGTTCAGCTGTTGACCTAGCAGGATGACCTTGGGCAATGCACTACCTTCTTAGGGTCTTAGTTTCTCATCTATTGAAAGGGGGGTCAATCAATATATTCAACTAGGTATCAATAACAATAATAAAACTTCCCACTACAAAAAATTCCTAGAAAATCTAAAAACAATAAATCCCTGCACTGCTGACTAACCAAGAAAATAAAAGAAACATCATAAATATAGATTTCCACCAAGACACTAATTTTAAAGAACATAAGCACCCCTCTGTTTATTGCAGCATTATTTACAATTGCCAGGATATGGAAGCAGCCTAAGTGTCCATCAGTAGATGAATGGATAAAACGACTATAGGACATTTACACAATGGAATACTATTTGGCAGTAAAAAAGAAGAAAATTGCACCTTTTGAAATAGTACGGATGGACCTGGAGAACGTTATGCTAAGTGAAATAAGCTAGTCAGAGACAGGCAAATACCATATGATTTCATTCATATGTGGAATCTATTGAACAAATTGAACTAACAAGCAAAATAGAGATGGACTCAGAGAGAGTAGGATGGCAGATAAGTGGAAGGGGGAGGTTAGGGGGTGGAAGGATTGTGCAAAAAGAACTCATGGACATGGACAACAGTGTGGTGATTGTGAGAGGAAGGAGGGTATAGGGGGAATAAATGGTAATGGAAAAATACAATAAGAAATAAAAAATAAAAGAAACAAATATAAGCTTCCAAAAATGAAGAAAACCTTGGGAAAAAAGAGTGATAAGTGGATGTGGAAGCTACAACTACTCTGGGGGCACTTATCAATCAAGGCATGGGAGTTTTTAAAACCTTATAGAGACAGGAGACAAGGCCTTAAGTATGCATAAGTTACAGAGTTGCAACTGAAATTCCCAAATAAACCTGAGACCCTCAAATGACTACATCTTCAATAAAAGTGTAAACTAGAAAAAAGTATAGGCAAAGAGGAACAATAAGAACATGTATCTGCTTAACTCCTAGTACAAAAAGTTAGGAAATGCCTCCTACAAGAATGTACAACCACAAGTCTACCATCCAGTGGGTTTGTGGTTAAGCGTTACACCATCTGTGTGTTTTAGAAAATGTTAGGTTGAGATTTTAGTAAGAAGTGATTTCAAGTTGTTAGCACACAAGAGCGTCTGGAAGAAGCAAATAGAAATTTTCTCTGGTGTCTCTCAACTCAGATTGCACGGGATTCCCACAGTTAAATTTTTGCCAAACTGAAGCTCACATAGTACTCAAGGAAAATAAACTATCCTAAGTGAAAATAAGCAGGAACCCCCCCCCCAAAGGGTACCTTAAAACTTAAGATAAATAATGCAAAATATAAAACAAATATGTTTAAAAATTTTAAAGAAATAAAAGAGGGAGTAAAAAATGTAAGAAAGAAACAAGATGCTACCAACAAATGATGTAGATTTGAAACAAGACTAAATGGAATTGTAGAAACAAAAAATATTCATTAAAATTGAAAACTCAATGGATGGAGTAAACAGAAGTTTAGCTACAACTTAAGAAATAGGGACTTGGAAGACAGAGATGAAGAAATTACTCCACTTGTAGCAAACAGATCAAAAATAAGAGGGAAAAAAAGGAGACCTAAAGAATAGAGACAGGACTAACACACATCTAATTGTATTTCCAGATGGAGCTAATAGAGAGCATGTGAGAGAGGAATAGTTAAAGATATAATGTCTAAGAGTTTTTCTAGGACTGATGAAGAATCCCAATACTCAGATTCAGGGGCCCAACCCAAGCAAAATAAATGAAAATAAATTAATATTTAGACATATCAAAGTACAACTTAAAAGCAATAAAGATACGAAGACCCTAAAAACAGCCAAGAGAAGAGAAACATCAATTAGACTGATAGGAAGCTTCTTAGTTACGTTAGAAGTCAGAAGACAGTGGAGATAACATCTTCAAAGTGCTGAGAGAAAACAACCATCAAACTAGAATTTTATACCCAAAGTGTCTTCTAGGTATAAGTCCCCACAAAACCTTTTTTTAAAAAAAATTATTTATTTTTAGAGAGAGGAGAAGGGAAGGAGAAAGGGAGAGAAACATTGATGTGCAAGAGGGACATCAATTGGTTGCTTCTTGCAGGTCCCCAACTGGGGACATGGCCCATAACCCAGGCATGTGCCCTGACTGGGAATCGAACTGGTGACCTTTCAGTTCACAGTCCAGTACTCAGTCCACTGAACCACACCAGCCAGGGCTATAATGTCATTTCTGAAGAGGAAGATAAAAATGTGAAAATGCTGTGTAACACAGGATATCAATTGTTTTATCTTTTCTGATGTCTACCTTTTCTTATAATTGTTTTCAGGAATTTGTATCAGAAATGGAATATGACTAATAAATACTCTAAAATGTAGAACTGTCTAAATGGAGACTGGGTAGAAAGCAATGAGGATTTGCCTCATATGATAGGGAACCATCAGGTCTGGTTCATGTGGTGGCAAAGAAGTAGATTAAAATGTTAGCAATTGTCCATTTGGATTCCAACCCACAGCCCAGAGAGGCTGGAGCTTTAGACAACTTGATGATAAAATGTCAGGAAATTAGAGTATATTGAACTATTTCAAATGCCTTTAATGAAAGGATACCATAGATACAGTATAGGATAAAGTAAGTCCTCCTGAAAGCAGAGAGGAAATAAGCAGACAAATATGTAGCTTTTAAAACAGAGGAATCTCTTGCATACAGGCAAGAACCTGAGACAGCCAAGGGCTGAATAATCATGTGCCTTGTGGGATGGCAGTTGCTGCAAAATATGCTTTATCTTGTTTCTAAAGCAATTTAGGAAACTATGGAACGTAACAGTTGGAATGGAGACATCAGGGAGGAGTTCTATGAATCCGTCCACCCTTCAAACCTTACCTCTCCCTTGGGATAGCGGTAGCGATATTTATCTTGGTCCCTTAGTGCAAATTCTTCAGGGTAATGTTCCTGAATTTCTTCATAGGTCATCTCCTCACACACACCCTGAAAAAAGTTATTTGTGGACAAAAGCATTTACAAGGTGAAATCCACACAGCCTTTAGCATAGTTTTGAGGTCAAATGGTTGTAGAACAGTAGAACCTAGGTTTCTGCGAACACAGCTCTCTTGGTTTGTGCCTGCTGTCTGAGTGTGTGTGTTCACAAGGTGTGTGGCTGTGCACATGTGAGAGTAAGTGCATGGGTATAGGTGTGTTTAGGATGAATATATGGTAGGTCTCTTGATGTTTCTATATGATTATCCTAATAGGTTTGTAGGTATACATTGTACATATATGTATGGATTTCTATCAATATGTGGGCTTAAGGAATTGTGACTTTCTATGTGTGTGTGCAGCATGCTTATGATGTGTGCCTGTGGTATGTTGAGGGACCTATGCTTTTTGTTAGTGTATTTATTTCATTATATGTAGTGTGCTTGTGTGATTATGTGTGTGTGTGTGTGTGTGTGTGTGTGTGTGTGTGTGTGTGTACAGGGTATCTGACCATCTGACAATGTGTCTGCATAGGTGTTTCTGTGGTATGTCTTTCCATGTGCGTTTCAGTGTATCTGTGGCATGTGTATTTGTGACTTTATATGTCCCTGATTATGTCTCTGGTATATATGTGTGAACATCTGTGTGCCTATGTCTGAGCTCTGTGTGAATTTGTGGTAATATGTTTGAGGCTATGTGTCTGTACTGTGTATGTGTTTATGGTATGCCTCTGTGTTCATGTAATATAGAAATATGCAAAGACTGCATGTGTGTCTATAGTGATTGTGAGTGTGTCTATATGTATCTCTAGATGTGTCTGTAAGTGTGTATGTGTGCATGTATATGGTGTAGGTGTTATTGGTAGATAGGTCTGAGAGAGGGCCTGTGTCTGACTAGTGGGTCCATGTGTCTGTGAAGTGCATGTCTGTGACTGTAAGAGTACGTGGGGTGTGTGTCTGTTACTGTGCATGCAAGTTTATGCCATCCACAACAGGGTTCTCCCATTTTATAGCATTTCTCATCCTTTCTGCCCCTACCTCTTCTCCAGGACCTTGGGCAGATAAAGAAAACAGCTATCTACAGAAATCGCAGAAGGCAAGAATTAGTAAATCCCTAATGATTTCAGAGTGGGCCTAGGGGAGATACTCTCCTCACCCAAAGAAGAAATTGGGAGCTCAGAGACTATTCTGCAAGAGCATATGAGAGCTCCAAGTCTACTGAGAAGTACCCAGAAGTGAAGTGGCTACTGCTGGAGGAGGAAAGTGATGTTGAGTTATTTTTTCCTTCTGGTTGTGTGGATTCCAAGGATTAGAACTTCCTATAGGGGAAGGAGAAGGCTTTGGCTGTTGTCTTTTGAGCAATCTACCAGGTTTCCCTTAGGAGAGAAGCTCATCTCTGCCCCAGCCCACAAACAGCTTTGCATTGCCAAACTTCTACAAATGACAGTGCCCATAAGACAAAGTGTACCCTATGGAATACCCAAGGTCCTTCCAGATTGGCTTCAACTTCTTATTCTGAGGCTTTTGGGGAACCTGTTACCTGCCTCTCTGAATTTTATTTTCCTTATCTACAAAATGAGGAGAATTACAATTACCCTACAAAGGTGTTTTAAATATTAGAAATAGTATGTGCAAAGGAGACTAGTACAGGATGTTCAAAGCACATACTAAAGACTCAGTCGCTGGAACTAATTATTAATATATTATTGATCATGGAAAACAAACCAGAAACCCAGGCATCATTCTAAATTCTTGCTTCTTCCTAACCCACCCCCACATAATGGATTGCTGAGATTCTACCTTCTAAAATTCTCTCACATCTATTCCTTTTTCCTCCCTCTTACTCTCCACTGCTACACCTTTAGCAGTTCCACACACACACACACACACACACACACACACACACACACACACACACGCAATGAAACCCTCTTTGCTTAAGCTCTTCTCTCTGCCTGGCATACCATTCCTGATCTCCTCTACCTGGTTCAGTATTAACCCTCCAAGTTAACACTGGCATGATTTCCTCCAGGAAGATCCTGGCTGAATCAGATGCCCTGCCCTGACATCTGTGCACCTATAGTCTAGCCTATCAGAGCCTGTATTACACACACTGTTTTGTATTCCTCTGCTGGCCCCATTTAGCCTGAAAACTCAGTGAAGACAGGAACCAATCTCCATCTCTAGCACCACCCCAGTGGTGAAACAAAGTAGGTTTTCAATAAATGTTTACAACATGTATGTGCCATAAACAAAGCATAATGATACTTTTATGATGAAGCATTTACATACTTTCTAGCATGTATTTTATAGCAAATATATGTGATATCTAGAACAATTCTGTATATACCTTTTCTAAGTATGTGTATCACTGTGCATCTGTAGTTGAGTACATATATATGTATGTATGTATGTATGTATACATACATACTTGTCTGTATTTGTAAAAGTATATTTAGTAGACAATAAGCAAGTTAACCTACTTACATTCAGTTTATCTACACCTATGGTGAAGCTTTTATTCTGGGGTCTAGCAATCATAACCTGTGCACTGCTACCTGATGTCAGCATATATACAGTGCAGGTACAACAATGGAGAGGAAACAACGTTTTTTCAAAGAGCTCATGAGAAAACCTGACCCTGAAGAGAGGTTGCCATATCATGAGGGTCAGATGAAATATTCCCCAAGTTTTTCTTCTTCTTCCCATCTCCAATGCCACCATCACCTCTTGCCTTGACTAATGCAGCTGTCTCCATATTGGTTTGCATGCTCATTCTGGCCTTGTTCCTACCTAGTTTCCATAAATGGCCAGAGCAGTCTTTTTAGTTGAAAAAATGTGGATCATGATCAAGTCACTCCTCCTTGACTTAGACCACATCAATGGCTTCCTTTTTATAGGGCAGCACCTGAATCCCTCAAGATGATATAAAGCCCTATGAGCTGTCTTCCTTTCCAATTTTCCCTTTTATCTGCAGACCTCACAATCACAGTCCCAAGCTCTCTGCTATTATATCCTCAGTTCTCTGAACATGCCATGCTCTCTTCTCACCTCTAGGCCTTCACATGAGCTATTCCTTGCCACTGAAATTAAAATTTATCCTCTTACTCCCAGCCCATTTTGCCTGTTTCTTTTCTCACTTCTAGCTTCATGTAGGAAGATTTCCTTGTAAATCTTCCGCCACCAAGTCTTTTCAGGAGCACCCTCACCTTCTGAGATCCCACAGTCCCTTGTACTTACCCTCTCACAATCCTTTGTCACATGAGATTCAGTGTCTTATTTACTGTCTGCCTTTGGGCTCCATGAGGAAATAAAACTTGTCTGCTCTGGCCTTCACTGGATCCTTAACATACAGAATAGTGTCCAGCAAATGGCTGGTTGTTAAAAATGTTTGTTGAATTAATTAGGTTACCATAAAGGCCAGAACAGAGGCTACCCAGGGCATAATCCCAGAGTCAAATCCCACCATCCACCAGGAAATCCATTCCCCTACATCTCACCGCATCAATCTCGTTCAGGGCCTTCCACTGCTCATAGGGGACGCCCAGAGCCTCAGCTGTCTGGATAGTCCTCTTCATGTGGCTTGTCCACACTTTCAGGGAGCTGATGCCCTGGGACTGAATGAAGTTGGCCAGAGCATAAGCATACTGGAAAGTGGGGGGGGGGGTAACAGTTGAAGATAGGAGGGGAGAAAGAGAGAGATGAGAGAATACAGGGTAGCCATGAGAACAAGTTCAGATCTGTCACAAATGATAGAATGATGATGTACAAACACAAATATAGAGTTTAAATATTTTAAATTTATAAAAAGGTCATACTCTTTCCCAAGAGAATAGAAAAGAGTATGTGTGCTTATATGTGTATATGTGTGTATGTTTGTTCACTGATGCTTGGTCACTGAACCCCCTACTCAGTTATTCATTTGTTCAAACAGCCCACCTGTAACATTTGTGGGGACTGGGACAAGAGGACATATGGAGGCATTCCACATATAGTCCACCTCCCTTCTCTTTCTGTCTTCATCCTGCCACTCATAGATGTTTGTAGATAATTGAGTTCTATCACCAAGTTCTGTCCATACCACTTGTTCACCGATTCCCCCTGATCCACAAACTGACTCTTTGAACACCCCTTCACCTAAGGGTGAACACTCCTGTTATAAGACCTGCTTTTACATGGACAGATGCTGGGATAAGGCCATGCAGACACTAGAAACAGACACTAGACCACAAGGACAGGGATTTCTGGGTTTTGGGTACTCAGAGTGTGGTGCATATGTGGTGGGGATTTTGGGGATGTTTCTTTTTTGATCCTTTGAATTCTCATTGCTTTATTAGGGGTCCTGATACCCAGGTTCTAAGAGCATTCAAACATGTACTGAGTGTATGTGTACCTCTGCTAGGTAATAAGGTGTCCTGTTCTCAAGACACAATCAGTGCAGTGAAGGAAGCAATGACAGCACCGGGAGACACCACGCAGGCCTGTGGGAGCCCCGATGAGCAAGGGATTCACTCTCCTTCTGCCTGTAGGCATGTTAGTCACAGGTGGTATGTGAGGAACATCTGCACAAATGCGTAGATACAGGCACACATTTGTATGTACAAATGTGGACGTTGTGCACACACATTCTAATGGTGGATTCTGAGTCCGCAGTCAGTGTGCTCTGGTGGAAGGAGCCCTTGACTGGGAGGTAGGTGATGGGGTTAAAGTGCTCCAGCTCCCTTACACAGTCCCCATGTGCCTGGGATGCGTCCCTCCCCTCTCTGGCCTTGGATCTCCTGGTCCCTGTGAGTGGAGATCAGACAGTGGATGGGGAGCGCCTGGAGCACTCCCTGGCACACAGTAGGTGAGAGCTGCTGTGACTGATGTGGGTGACAGTCAATGGGAAAGTGCACGGTGCACTGTGCCCATGAGCGTGAAGGCTGGGCCCGGTGGTGTGTGCACATGCTCACGCTTGTGTTGGGGGAGGCAGGCCGTCGCCAGTCCCAACCAAGAGACCCCTGGCTGCAGGTGGTGCCGCGAGGTGGGGTGGATGCCTCTGGTGGCCTCTGACTCTGCTCTAAGGAGTGAGAGAGGTGAGAGTCAGAGGTCAGAGTCCCCTTGGAGAGGAGGCTGGCCACGAGGATGCGGCTTCTGGTGAGGTGCCTTGCCTGTGGCACCGCCACCTCTGCAGTGGGGGATGCTGAGGGGCTGGCAGGAAGGCCTGGTTTTCAGTCCTGGCTCCAGCTGTGTGTGACCTGGGGCTGCTCTCTGCTCCTGTCGGGGCCTCAGCCTCCCCATCCGGAAACTCGTGACAGTACTGCCCAGCCCACCGAGCTGCCGGGAAGATTAAATGAGGCCGCACAGGTGGAAGCAGATGGCGCCGGGACTGCGCACAAGTGTCCACCAAAAGAGGGTGCTCCCTCCGTCCTGCACTCCACCCCCCGCTTGTCCCATCCCCAAGCGATTCCCCCCAGCAAGGACCTGTGCTAACATGCCCAGGCACAGGGTGAACCCTGGGGAGAATGCGTCTCTTTGTGGAGCCAGCACCCATAATGTGTAGCACCCATAATGCTTGGCTGGATAGAAGGGGCTCATGCCATGGAGTCAGAGATGGACCAGTACTGGGAGAGACAGAGCCCAGGGCATGGTGACCTGCCTGCGGGCAGGGGAGGACAGGGGAAGGCTTCCTGGACCAGACTGCAGAGCAGGAGCTGTACTCTGCTAGGTGGTGTGGAAGATAGGGGAGGAAAGAAACAGTAACTGGTAGGGGGTAACTGCTGACAGTGTGATGACTTGCAATGGGGTGGAGAAGGTATAACATCAGCCCTAAGTAAGGAAGGAAAAGAGGGATTCAAGGGTGGGGCACTTCCCTTTCTGTGCAAGTAATGACGACTAGCTGACAGAGGAAGGCAGTTTATGTGGGGAAACTGCACAAGTGAAGGCACAGAGTTGTCAGAAAGATTAGGGGACTAGTCAGGTGGGGGCAAAAGGAGCTTATCACACTGGGGCTGGAGGAGCAGCCAGGTATGGGCAGGCCTGGGGTGCCAGGACCAAGCTCTCAGACTTGCAGTTTGTGTGGGCACCTGATAGTCTTTTGAGCATGGGTCAAGGCTGAGTGGCTGACAGGGCAGAAGAGTGGGAGTGACCTGTCACTGAGTCCCCCCACCCTCAGGACCCAGGCAGTGGCTACTCTCACTGCCCATGGCCCACCTGGTTCAGCTCAGCCAGTGCCTCTGGGTGCATGGGGCCCTCCCTACCTGCTTGCCCCGAGCTGACAGGCCAGAGTCACCTCCAATGCGGCCTCTGAGGTTGAGTTCACTCTCACCATGCCGGCATAGGTAGATGGAGCGGGGTGTGACATGGATGTTCATAAGATAGTATACTGTGCGGCTCTGGATGTGGTCCTGCACTCGGTTCACCATGTAGCGCGTGCCCACGTCGAAGATCTTGATGTAGGACAGGTGGCTGGGCCAGTCCAAGCAAGAGCAAGGACAGTTCAGGAGCTGATGGTGGAGATGCTAATCCCAAGAGAAACCTCCAACCACACACCCGACTTTAAGCTTCCTCAACAACACAGCTCTCACCTCTCCTCTAACAAGATGCCATCCCTTGTCCTTTCCTGGGTACCTGTTCTAAAGACTTGATTCCTGGCCAACTTCAGGAGCTCACTGCCTGCTACCATCTCCCTCTGTCTCCTTTTCTCAGTCTCTACTTGAGCTAAGTTGTCTTTCCACCTTCACTAATCACACTCCAGGCATCTGGGGTTCTCTTTTCTGTGGTTCACACTCCTGAACTTGGAGAGAAGCAGTAATCCTCTGTGTCCCTGGATACCTCCAATATATCATTGGCAGCTCCAGGTTTGTTCATTCCCTTGCCCTTTCAAATAATGAGCTGAACTCTGTCTCTCTGTTCTTTGAACCTCTGCTATGATATATTGTACTTGACACTCTGCAGGCAGTTACCAGATTATGTCTTTGTGTGCTTGTGTCTCTGTGTGTTTGTCTCCTTACTCAGAAAGAAGAGTGAGTTGGGTTCTTTCCCTATCTTCCATGAAGTCAGCAAATATACCCTTGCCTGTTCTAAGCATTATGCTTGGGCTGAGGACTCAGCATTTGCCCTTTGGGAGCTCTTAGGCCACTTAGGAATATATACTTAGAAATGCGTAGTCAATGCTCAACACCCATTCCACAGTCATTAGTCACTTATTCTAAGGTGTGCCAAGTACTGGACTGTGGCAATACAGAGGTGGTTTACAACATCAGTGGGAAACTTGTGGTCCTTGCTTAAAGCCCCTTTTCAATCCCCTCAGTTCTGTGCTTTGTCATGAACTAACAGCTATAAATGGAATGATATTCAAATTATTCAACAACCTGTTTGCAGAGGAGCTCAAGATGGGGGACAATGACTAATGAGAAGACTAGAGCCATGGAGCAAGACTTCTCAGGCACTTGCTGAGCCAGGCATTAATTCCTAAGTTGTCTGATTGTAAGGTTCAGAGTGACCCCTGGAAAGAGGTAGGAGAAGCTGGGGCAATGAGGTGACACATCAGGAACCCTGTGTGCACAGTAACAAAACCCAGTGAATGGAAATAGATGCACTAACCCAAGACAGGTAAGGCAGTGGCTGATAGTTTGGTTTCAGAAAATTTCTGATGTTCCCAAATAAGGCATTTCTATCTGCACCATGCTCATGATGCCCATCCCTATCATTCATGCCTAATGGTTCCCATAGGGCGTTCATATTTGCTGAACATTTTAGGGGCTTCTGGAAGGGAATGCAGACTTCCAAGTACATGAATCCATGTGACAGTCCTAGGAAGCAGAGATGATTATCTCTGTTTTATGGTTGAGGAAACTGAAACAGAGAGAGGAAGTGATTTGCCTAAGGTCAACTTCTCCAAGGACTCTCAGAGCTTAGGGTTAGAAAATATATGATGTAGCATTGTTCCATGGTTACTGTATGTTCCTGACACTAGGTTCTTGGTGGCCCTAGGATAATTTCCAAATTCCTCAGCTTAGTCTGACATTCTTGGTGCCTTCACACACTGGTCCCACTTGGCCTTACCTTATTATTCCATACTCATGCTCATGACTTCTTTATTTCACTGTAGCCTTTATACCTTTGCTGGGATATTTTCTGTACTCTTCTACTCTTATTCAGATTTAACTAGGCCATTATGAAATGCCATTCTCTTTGCTTGAAAAAGTGTTCCCTGCCTGCTCTCCAAAGTTAAGGTCCTATTCCTCCATCCTTCAAGATCCAGTACGCTCACTTTCTCTAGGAAGACTTCCTTGAGCCCAGAATCATGTGAAGTCATTTAGAGGTACTTCACACCAAAAGCAGTACAGTGGCTGATACCCATACTCACCACATAAAATTTAAAATAAAATTATAAAGGATATTATAATAGGAGGTTCTACCAAGTTCTGGTTTCATTTTTTCCATTTTGACTACCTTGATGTTGGAAACATAAAATATTAAAAGATTTCAAGATTATTTTCTTCTTGTTTTTGGTAGGCTCTGCCTTGCTAGTGCCCTAAACACATGTCTAGTCTACCTACTTGGGTAAACTTGCTCTTCTAGACCTCTTCCACCAAGATGGGCTGGGTCCCCTCCTCTGCATTCCTCCATCCCACTTGTTTTACCATCCCCACTATTCTGGTCAACTGCATACTAATTGTCTTCCCTAGCCACATGGTCACTATATCAGAGCAGGGACAGACCTTTCTTCTTTGGGTTCCTAGGGCACAGATTAGGGATGGGCCCTGAGGCATGGACTATAAATGTCTGTTGATGGAAAAAAATGATTAAATAAAGCCAACCCTCAAAATCAGTCATCTTAATGCTCTGATTCATCAAACTGATTCATCAAACACTATCTGAGCACCTGCAGGTTGAAGGCTAGGGGCTTCTCAATGTCATTCTTTCCCCTGAGCTCCTCTCCTTCAAAATTCTTTCCCCATATGCTGCTAGCCCTTACGGTGCTTTTGTGGAAATTTGAAAAAGTTACACTTTCTTCAGGGCAGAAACAGCTCCACTCCAGCATACATGCCTTGGAGTGAGAAGCAAGTGCATCCTTGACCTAAATGTGTATGCACAGAGAACAGTCCTCACAACTGTAGATAAGGTCCTGTTTCCTGCACTGAGTGTCTAAGCCTCATGTAACACTTTTTATGACATAGATATGTGGGAAGGGAAGAACCAGGCTGGGAGTTTGAAGATAAGGTTTGAGTATATATTCTGCTATTGATTCATTGTGTGGTCTCAGGTAAGCCCCAGCCCTACACTGGGTCTCCATTTCCCAACTTGAGGAGTAAGGCAGTAACAATGCTCACCTCTTAGGACTTCAGTTAGACAAAGCTGGAAGGATGTTCTTTGAACTTCCTAGGGTAGTATTGACTGTTTAAACCTCCTTACCCTTCTCACTTGGGTTCCAAATAGTTTGAGTAACCTGAGTCTCTTCTCATCACAACCCATTTTGAAAGAGAGTAGGGCCCTGGGAATACCTTATGTCTAAAATGTAACATCTTTCCTGTACTGTCAGCTAACATTTCTATCTTTGCCTGGTATTTTGAATAAAAGTTTCACATTTTTCATGTGTCTTCCCATATTTCAAGGCACTATGAAAGCTACCTGAGGATAGAATCTACCTCTCTTGCCCTTATTTACACTCCTTATGTATACCACAGCCAAGAGGGACCAAATACTTATGGATTGAAGAGGTATATGTGGGCAGTGTAAGAAAACACATGGCCAGAAGACAGAATATGTTGTTAGGTCTACCATTGACTTATGGTGGGAGCTCGGGCAAGTGTCTTCAGCTCTCTAAGACTCATTTTCCACTTGAAAATCTATGATCATAAGATCTATTTCAGTCTCCTCTACAGGGGTACTGAGGGGATTCAATGAAAGAAGATGAACATGCTTGAAAACTGAAATACCATCCATGGGTAAAGAACACTTTTCAAAAAATAATAGCAGTAAAGACAGGAGGGAGGCTTTCCCTGCCTTCACCCTGAGATCAGGTCCCTGATCTGTCCATATTGCTCAGGAAAGCACTCCTTCAATCCTCTCATGAACACATTACACATCAAGGAATCACCACCTCATTGATAAGTAGAGCTAGGAGCTCCCTTGAAGACAACTCCCTGATGTTACCGATAAAGAAGTTGAGGCCCAGAGAGGGAGGAAATTTCCCTCGGTCCTACAGGACATCAAAACATGGCTAAGGATCCAGACCTGGATTTTGGGGTTCTGGGCTCTTACCTGTCCAGTTCATCATCCAAGGGTTGGTAATTGAGCTCATAGCATTCAATTCTTTTTAGAAAGTCTTCCAGAACCTTTTCTCGGTCACAGTCTATGTAATCAGGGCTGCCAAGTTTCACTTGCTGGGAGAAGGGAGAAGGACAGAGGGACCATGGAAGATAGAGACTTTGACAGTGCCCATGGGAAGGGCCTTTAGAGATCATTGAGTACAACATACCTCTTAATAAAAATGGCAAAATTGAGACTTGGAGAAAGGGTCTTGCTTAAGTTTATAAAATGAATCTGTTGAAAATCTGGATTGTGTAATTCCTCATTACTTATATATTTGTGTGGTCAAACAAGGTATGTTACATTATATTCAGTTCTACAGTGTACAATATTTAAGAAGAATGTTTATAAGAGGGCTGGAAATTGTGATGTCAGAAATGGTTGAAGAAGAGGAAAAGGAGATCTTGGCCAGGGGTCATAATGGATTTCCTGTATCAAGTGTTTACTGGAAGAACATGGCACATTGGGTTTAGGTTTCTGAAAGACTGACATCTCCAATTCCCTCAATGCCTACCATTTTCACTCATCTCAGTGAGTGGTATTATCATCCACTCAGTTACCTGAGGCTAAAGAAATCTGAAAGTCATCTTACAATATATGTGTCCCATTCTAATATTCTCCACCTCTTAGCAGGCACCAAAATCCTCTCCACTATATCTTCTCTCCAATTGGCCTTCATTTTCTCTTGCCTAGATGCTCATGATAGCTTTGTGACTGATCACTGTGTCTAAAATCTTGTGATTTCTGATGTATTTTCCATACCAGCAGCCAGAAGGATATTTCTGAAATGCACATCTGACCATGGAATTCCCTTGCTTAAAACTTTTCACATTTCCTCATATATTTTAGGACAAAATATGAAATATGTTAGTAGGCGACTCATGGCTTGTCACGATTGGGCCCCAAATAATTTTTTTCATCCTCATCTCCCATTGTTCCCCTATTCCTCCACATGCTGTTTCCTTATTTTCCATTCTTTGCCAGCCAAATTCCTATGCATTCTTCAAGGTGCATGCCAGCTATTACCTTCATTGAGAAACCTTTCTGATACACCCTATTCCTCCCATGCAAAGTTATGTCCTCAAGCCTCCTTTATTCCCTCATCTTAGCATTGATTTTACAGATTTATGCCTATAAACTTGCCAGTATCTCTCACTAGACTGTGAGCTCAAGAGCAAGACTCTTCTCTATCCATTTCTAAGTCTCTAATACCCAGAATGGCCTGGTGCAGGTATATAAATTCATTTTCTGTTGAGTCAATAAACAGATGAATAGATGGACAGATGAAGAGGAAAGAGAGGGTTCTTTGCCACTAGAAGCAAAAATAGGACCAATAAGTAGAAATTACAAGGAGGCAGATTTCCGCTTGATTGGGCTGTATTTGATGAAGGCAATGAGCCTCTTATCACAAAAGGTATGAAGAAAAAATCTAGACAAACATTTAACTGAGATTTCAAGTATCTGATGAAGCACTGAAGGAGATGAGCTTTAAAGTTTCTTCTGTCCCTGAGCTCCAGTAATTTGATGAAATAAGGAAAAATAAAATATGTTAAGTGATATAGTTCTAGACCACATGCCTAGAATCTAACAGCAGTGATAGTTGTGATATGAATTGCGGCAGAATAAAGAGCTGTTGAGGCAGATAGCCAAACCTGATGTCCAGTTCCAGTTCTACTTCTTTCTGGCTGTACTATATAAACCCTTGACAACTCACTCCCCTTCTTGGAACCTCAGTTTCTTGGTTCCAACAATGAAATTATTCCTAACATGTACATTTGTTGTGAAAAATCAGAGTCAAGCTTGGTATCTGGTGCATATTAATAACTCTATATATGTTGGCTTCATTTAATTCCATAGGAAAATTGTAGGCCACAATTGTCAGGGAATGCTTCCTATAGAAAGTGGGAGGGGAATCCTGGAGAAGAATACCTTCTTTAATTTCATAGAGGTATTTTTAGTCATGATCCAAGCCTGAGGCAAAGTAAGGAGGAAAGGTAACTTGGTGCTCCTTACCCTGATGTTTTCTGCAATGATGCCAGGGTCATTACAGATGGACTCAATAAAAAACACCTATAAGAGAAAAAAAAGATATTTCCAGCAAGGAATTGTGTTTGATAGGAGCCAAACATAGATTGACTCCTTCTAAATGTCTCTGAGTCATCCCTACAGGCATGTCTGACAATGTGATTTCATACCGTGGTGCCTTAGGATTCTGAGTTTTATGAGGCAGATTGGCTCTAAATTGAACGGCTCAAGATTATTGCTTTGTGTTTTTACTGTTTTTTTTTTTTTAAAGTGGGATCCTACAAATAATGTCTACAAAATGAATTCGGTTCTTAGAAAGACATAATACTCCAAGAGAGATGGACAACCTGTTGTAAGTAGCATGCTAGGTGGTGATGGGAATTTAGCTCACCTGATACCATTTCACCTAATTAATTAAACTAAAATGATCATTTTCTAGAGTATTAGTTATTTTCTTTCTTTTTTTGCAAATAAAACTTTTTAAGAATATTTGTATTGATTATGCTATCACAGTTGTCCCTTTTCTTCTCCCCTTTATTGCACTGCACCCCCTCTGTCCTACACCCCCATCCCACCAGCATTCCCCCCGCCTTGTTCATGTTCATGGGTCCTACATATAGGTTCTTTGGCTTCTCCATTTCCTGTACTACTCTTAACCTCCTCCTGCCTATTTTGTACCTACCATTTAGGCTTCTTATTCCCTGTACCTTTTTCCCCATTCTCCCCCTCCACCTCCCTTCTGATAACTCTCCATGTGATCTCCATGTCTGTGATTCTGTTCCTGTTCCAGTTGTTTGCTTAGTTTGTTTTTGCTTTTGTTTTCTTTAGGTTCAGTTGTTGATAGTTGTGAGTTTGTTGTCATTTTCCTGTTCATAGTTTTTTATCTTCTTTTTCTTAGATAAGCCCCTTTGACATTTCATATAATAAGGGCTTGGTGATGATGTACTCCTTTAACTTTTCCTTATCTGGGAAGCACTTTATCCGCCCTTCCATTCTAAATGATAGCTTTGCTGGATAGAGTAATCTTGGATGTAGGTCTTTGCTTTTCATGACTTTGAGTACTTCTTTCCAGCGCCTCCTTGCACACAAGGTTTCTTTTGAGAAATCAGCTGATAGTTTTATGGGAACTCCTTTGTAGGTAACTGTCTCCTTTTCTCTTGCTGCTTTTAAGATACTCTCCTTATCTTTAATCTGGGGTAATGTAATTATGATGTGCTTTGGTGTGTGCTTCCTTGGGTCCAACTTCTTTGGGACTCTGAGCTTCCTGGACTTCCTGGAGGTCTACTTCCTTTGCCAAATTGGGGGAGTTCTCCTTCATTCATTTTTCAAATAAGTTTTCAATTTCTTGCTCTTCCTTTTCTCCTTATGGCACCCCTATGATTCAGATGCTGGAATGTTTAAAGTTGTCCTAGAGGTTCCTAAGCCTTTCCTCATTGTTTTGAATTCTTGTTTCTTCATTCTATTGTGGTTGAATGCTCATTTCTTCCTTCTGTCCCAAATTCTTGACTGGATTCCCAGTTTCCTTCCCTTCACTGTTGGTTCCCTGTTTATTTTTCTTTATTTAACTTTATGTAGCCTTCATTTTTTCCTCCATTTTGCAACCATACTCAACCATTTCTGTGAGCATCCAGATTGCCAGTGTTTTGAGCTGTGCATCTGACAGGTGGGCTAACTCTTCATCGCTTAGTTCTATTTTTGGAGCTTTGATCGGTTCTTTCATTTGGGCCATATTTCTTTGTCTCAGCGTGCCTCTTATGTTGGAAGGGGGGAGCCTTAGGTAATCGCCAGAGCAGAGCAACCCAGGTCACTGTGTTGTGATGCTGTCTGTGGGGGAGGGGTCCGAGAGGAAGCAATGCCGCTTGCTCGACTCTCCACTGGGTTTCAGTCACTTCCCCCACTACCCACAAGTAAATTGGGCCCTTCTGGTGCTGATTCCCAGGTGGGAGGGTTTGTGTACATTCTAGGACCCTGTGGGCCTCTCCAACGAACACTCCTGTGAGGCTGGGAGTTTCTCCCATTGCTTCATCCCACACAAGTTTTTACAGCCAGAGGTTTTGAGGCTTTCTTTTCCTGCACTAGAATCCTGGATTGCATGGTCTGTCTTGCTCTCCTGTTGTTCCTCTTGGTTTATTTGCACACGAATGTGGGACCACCCATTACCATCTCACCTGCCCAGTCCTCCAGCCACTGCCTTGCCACGTGTCCTCTCTGCCCCGGCTGCTCATCTCCACCTCTCCTAGTAGTCTGGATGAATGTTTCTTCTTTAACTCCTTGGTTGTTAGAGTTCCATACAGTTTTATTTTCTGGTGGCTTTTTTGAGGTTTGATCTGTTCTTTCATTTGGGCCATACTTTTAAAATTTGTTGTTGTCCTTCTTTTGGTTGTGAGAGGAGGCAAAGTGTATCTACTTATGCCTCCATTTTGGATGGATACAAATAACACCTTTTTATTCCCCTTCACCTTTTACACCCATCTCCCTAACCGCTTTCCTCTCTGGCAATCATCAGTTTGTTTTCTGTATCTATGGGTCTTTTTCTGTTTTATTTATTCATTGTTTAGATCCCCAAAACAAGTGAAATTATATAGTATTTGTCTCTTTTTGTTTGACTTATTTCACTTAGCATAAAACCCTCTAGATCCATCCATGTTGTTGCAAATGGCAAGAGTTCATTCTTTGGTTAAGAAATATTCCATTGTGTGTATACATGTGTATGTGTATATATATATATGGGGGTATACACGTTCTTTTTGGAACATTACGGCTTCCAAAGAACTTAATTGTTTTCTATCTACCATATCTTCTTTATTCATCTATTGATGAACACCTAGGTTGTTTTTTCTTTTGTAAATATGGCTGCAATAAACATATATCTTTTGAATTAGTACCCTTGGATAAATACCCAGAAGTGGTATTGCTAGGTTGAATGGCAATTCTGTTTTTAATTTTTTGAGGAATCTCAATTGTTTTCCATAGTGGTTGCACCAATTTACCATCCCACCCACAATGCATGAGAATTCACTTTTTCCCACATCCTGGCCAATACTTGTTATTTGTTAGCTTTTTGATGATAGCCATTCTGACTAGTGTGAGGTTGTATCCCATTGTGGTTTTGATTTTCATTTCCCTGATGATTAGTGATGTTGAGTATCTTTTCATATGTGTATCAGTTGTCCATATGTTACCTATGGAGAAATATATATTCATGTTCGCTACCCATTTTTTAATTGGATTGTTTTCTTAATGTTAGAATTGTATGAGTTCTTTGTATTTTGGATATTAACCTCTTATCAGATATATCACAAATATCTTCTCCTATTCTGTAGGTTGTTTTCTTCGTTTTGATAATGGTTTCCTTTGCTGTGTTTACTGGTTTTTAGTTCTTCTATATGCATTTTGTAGTGGATCTCTCTCCTCTTTCCTCACCCTCCCCTTACAGTGTCAGCCTGTCAGCAATCATCTTCCACTGCTTAATGTGGAACCTCTCCTTTCCTGTTCTGTTCTGTTTCGTTGCTTCTAAACATGATCCTGAAAGCCATATCAACCAAATTTAAATATTGAGGCTATGGTAGCTGATTTGACATCTATGAATCCTCTGGTTTACTTTTGTTTGGGATTTGTGCCTGAGTAATTAGGATCTAGATAAAAGAAGCAGTGTTATTGTACCTTGTAACCATGTTCCTTAGCAAACTGCAAAATTAGTGATCGTCGTTCTCTGGTAGTGTTGGTGGCATCAAACACCTAGAGGCAGAAGATGAGATTGGCTTACTGTGAGTCTGGTGTTGATATAAGGCCTACTATTTGACCATCCCTGTGGTCATCTACTTGGAGTCTGCTAGATGGGGATAGAACTTGGACTGGGTGATGAAGGATAGCAAAATTGGAATTGGCTTGTATCAATTTCTCAAGCACTCATTGAGCCCTGCTATCTATCCAAAAGTGTAGCAGGTTCTGTAGGAATAATAATACAAGAGAAGAATTGTGGATTTTTAGTAGGGTCATTATACAGGTAAAGTAGCTGAGCCTTAGAGGAAGGATTTGCCTTAACCAAGGTCACTGAGAGTTGCTGACAGAGCAGAGCTAGAACTGATTTCTCAACTCCTAGGTGAGGCTCCTTCCTTCCCTATCAATTTGGAGCTCTTTAAGAACAGGAAACAACTCCCTATCCTCTGCACCTTAGATGGGACAATTTGCATATCTAAAGATCTTTTTTATTTTTAGAATTAGCAAATTTTATATTAAGGGCCTATGAGATTAAATTGACTAAGATGTTTAGGTAAATCTTTAAAAGTTTGTATTTTAATTTTAAATTCTAGTGTAGTCTTGCCAAATTCTTGGGAGTGGAATGGTAGGTATAGTGGTTAAAAGTGCAGATTCTGGAGCTACACAACATGGATTTCAGTTATGCTGTGCCAGATACATACTACACCATTTGGGGAAATTATTTAATCTCTATGTGTATCATTCTTCTGGGATATAAAACAGGGGCATAATTATAATACCTTTCTCATGGGGTAAGATGGAATTAAATTAATATGTACAAAGTACTTAGAATAATGCATGGAACATAGTGAATGCTCAATACATATTTGCTGTCCTCCATCCCAGCAGAAATCCTAGGGAAAATGCAAATTTCTTTACCGCAACGCGACCTTCCTCATGGCTGAGATAGTCATGGACATCCTTCAGGGCTGCCAAAGCACACTGCCTGAAAAAGATGGAGAAGATAAACCAGATAAGACTTATCCCCAAGATTGGTTCCTCTCAGTTTTTCTGCAGTATCTTTGGCACCATCTCTCACATGTCCTACATTACATTATTCACCTAGTAAACATTTACACATGACAAGCACAGAGAGGTCACACAGGTGATAGTGGATCTGTGTGTACATCTAAGGATCAAGTATAAAGTGTCATACCCAGGAAATACTGACTGACAAATGTTATAATATTAAAGATTTCAACCCTTGAGTTAATAGAGCTCATCAAGCTGAACTGGTTCTTGAATTCAGTTAGAGGCTGAGCATATGATCTGTTAAGTAAAAGGCATTCCTGGCATGAGTAACAGTTCAAGCACAGATATGACATTGGCAATGTTTTATGGTTTTGGCAAAACTCTATTTAGTGATTACTCTTTTCAAGGTTCTATTATCCTCGTGGGCATGGATCAATAAATGAGACACAGGCTCTCTTCTCAAAGTGTTCAGAGCCTTGTAGAGGAGGGACACCTTGAGATTGAATGGATGAGATTGGATAGACTGGAGTATGCCAAACTATTAAGACTCTTGTCTCAAATGCTAGGCTGAGAAGTTTCCATTTTTTCCTGTCAGAGAAACTGTTTGAAGTTCTTACACAGGAGATAGCTATGACTAGAAATGGGCTTTGGGTAAGATGGTACAAAGGCTATCCAAACCATCATTTGAAGGTCTAGAGGGCCTCCTTTCTAACCCTAGTGGCTCTGCCCTAGAGTCTCATCATCTGAACAAAGCCCTCCCTCAGCCAGGGGGCAGCACAGGTCCCTAAAATGTAAGGTACTTACTTCCTGATAAGAAGGGCTTCCATGTTGTCTGGGAGAAAGAATTCGTAGTTCTTGTAGCTAACTACCTCTCTTCGATACTGGCCTAAATTAAACACTGAAAGCAGAGAACACTGGTGAAGAGGTTGGAAAGATCTCAGTGGCAACAACAACAACAAAAACAAAAACCCCATGTCCTTGTTGGGAGGGATTTTAGAGGAAGGTAGAATAAGGTATAATTTGTAGCTATATAATGTGCTTACAAAGCTTCAAATTATGGCTACCAGATCATTTATTTTTTACAACAATCCTGAAAAGTAGGAATTACCATTCCCATTTTACAAATGAGAAAACCGAAGTTAAGAGATGGTAAGTAACATTTGCAATTACTGGGGAGCTAGGATTCAAGCCCAGGGCTATTTGGCTCCAAAGTTGGTGGATTTTCCACTATTCTACCTTATTGTAAACTCCAACCCTTTTTATGCCCTACTGCATTGGAAGGATAAGCTGAGATTCAGGGAGTAATATCAATCACCAAGGGTCCAACACTGAGTCAGAACTAGTTTGGGCTTTCTGAAACATAGTCCAATGTTATTACATTTTTCTGTATCATGACAGAGAATCTAAATTTATTATGCCCTATTTAGGCCATACTTTATCATTTGTAATGGTGAAAAAACAGAGAGGAGGGAAGGAAAGAAAAGGAAATAATGAAATAGGTAATATAATATTTCATTCATTCAACCACTAAATATTTTCAGATGCCCACTTTGTGAACCAGGACATGAGTTCTGGGGTCTCAGAGCTGAACTATATCTGCGTGATGGGGCTCTCAAAGAGCTCAGAATCAAGCAGATAGGACAGAGAATAAACCAGTAAACAGAGAGTTCTCGCCCAGTTTGTTAAGTACTCTGACAGAACCATGCAACAAAGTAAGGGGGAAGAAAAAACTAATTAACTTGGGGTGACCTGAGAAGGTTTCTTGGAGAAAGCAGCATTTGAACCAGTCCTTTTAGGAGGGCACACCTCTTACAGGAAGGCATGTGGGGGCTGGAGTGGAGAAGAAAGGCATTGCAGGTAGAGGAACAGCGTGAGCAAAGGTATGGCATTGGCAGAAGGCAGAACATGTTTGGGGGATGGTAAGTCATCGACTGTGACTGAGGCCTCTGAGAGACTGGCAAGGGCCGATCGTGGAAGGCCTTGAACAACAGGCTAAGGAGCTTGCATTTAAGTCTTCAAGCCAAGAGATCCCTTGGAGACTGTAGGTATGGTCAGCTTTGTGCTTTGAAATGTGACTGTGAGAGCCTCTGTGGGAATGGAGTGGACTGGAGCAGACAGTAAGCAGGCACAGTAGAGTAGGGTTTGAGTGGAGCCCAGAGGAGCACAGTCCCCTGAGCGGGAACCGAGGAATCAAATAGGAATGGGGATACACGGTCGGGGACAGAGAAGTCAACTGGAAAATAGGAGAGACTGATTGCTGAATAAGAGGCAGTGAGCAGAAAAGAGACCACATCGAGGAGAAAGGAAAGGTGGAAGCAGGGAGCGGGAAGGAGGTTGACAGGCAGGGAAGAATACCCCTCTGGAGGCGGAATGAGGCAGGCCCACTTCCGGCTGGGAAGGGGGCGTGGACTGGCTTAGACCCAAGGAGAGGCTTGGAGAGAGCAGATGCCTTCTGGATTCAAAAGGACAAGGTGAGCTAAGGTGCACAGCTTTCGTGAAAACTCTGTGGGTCTCTTCTGGCTGCAGCTTCAATGTGTTTGATTCCACATGCTGCTAAGTTTGGAAGGTAACCTTAAGGTTGTGAAGAAATGGTGATGCTAATAAAAATAGTAATATTGGTGTGGTAATAATAGAAATAGCAATGAAAATAGTATCTTACTCATTGGATTGTCTTGAGGTCTTGCAAAAATGGAGCTCCTCAGGAAAGAAATATAACCTTACTAGTTTTCCTACCTAACATGGGGTTGGGCACAGTGTATGTGCTCAAGAAATTTTAAAATTCATAAGAGTGTTGTGGTAGTGGTGGTGGTGATGGTAGTTGTAGTAGTAGTAGCAGCAGCAGCAGCAATAGTCCACATTCTGGATAGTTGAGACTTTTCTGGTACTCAGGACATTGTCCCTGCTGACTTGCTACCTTACTGTGTTTTCAGTCAGTGGCCTGTAGGGGGCTATATAACAAAGGTTTCAGAGACTTACCTTTAGTTGGTGTTCCTATCCAGTTCAGATATCTGGTGAGCTTTGTAGAGATGTAAGTCTTTCCTCGAGCTGGTAAACCCACCATAATCACCATTGTGGGGGAATTGGTAAACTGGGGTATGGATGCTGGAAGACAAACAGAGCCTCAAAATCTTATCGCTAGGTTCACATGATCTTCTGGTATCAGCTCAGGGATATAGAATTGGAAGGACCAAGTGGAGCATACATTCCATATACAAAGGTATATAGTGGCTTTATTTTAATAACTAAAAACTGGAATAGGCCCAAATGTCTTTTGACTGCTGAATAGATAAACAGACTGTTACATCCATACAAGGGAATACTATTCAGCAACAAAAAGGAACAAACAAGTGATAGACAATACATGGATATATCTTGCATTTTAATAAATGAAAGAGGTGGACTCAAATGGCTATATACTGTATGACTCCATTTATATGACATTCTGGAAATATTATAGGGACAGAAAACTGATCAGTATTTGACAGAGACTGGGGGCTCAGGGCAAAGGAGCACAATGAAACTTTTGGGGGTGATAACAGAAATGTTCTGTTGACTGTTGTAGTTATACAAAAGTATGGATTTATCAAAATTCATACAACTACATTAAAAAGTAAATTTTACTGTGTAAATTAAACATCAATAAACATTACTTTTTAAAAAGAAAAAAAAGAATTGGAAGGACCATCTCTCCCACCATTATCTCTATATAAAAACCCCTTGAAATTGCAGAGTGATTCTCTTGAATTCATCAAAACAACAACAACAACAACAACAAACTGAGACTACAGTGCAAACAGTTAGTCCAAAATCTGTAGAGACAAGCATCTTCAGAGAGCAACAGTGCCCGGATATTTGTTTATCTTTTATAGATACTACTGAACAACATATAAACTCATAATAAATTCAGCTAAAAATGGTTAAGGAATTGTATAATGTTGGTTGTTGGCTAGTGTAAGAATGTAGAGATCCTGGGGGCTGCAGACATGGATGGTTTTGCATATTCTTGCAGATTTTTCCTTTAGGAATTCCACCAAGTGCTAACAGGGAAGACTGAGAAGAATATTGAGAAAGATATCCTGTAGTTCTGGCCTTGAGAGGGAAACAAAACAGCAGCCATTGCTGAAATTTTTCCCAGACCATTTTCCCTACATACCCTATGGAACAAAAGACGTAATCATCATGGGGAAAGACAATAAAACTCTAGCATGAGAGCGCTGGTGGAAATTCACTGCAGTTGGCAGAGAGGAGTGGCTAACACCACTGAAACTCTGTCCAGTCCAAATTTCTCTATCTCCCCTAAGGAAAATAAGTTTTAATCTGCAGAAGGAAGGACAACAGGAACTGAGGGCACTGGTGGAAACTCAATACAGCTGGAGAAGAAAACTAGAAAAAAAATGTTCTAATCCAGGAAGAACAGGAATATGTGCTAAGCCCACCATTAAATTTAGAGGAAGGGCAGAACACTTGGGAAGGTCACACCACTAAAACTCAGGATAAGCCTGTCTAAGAGTTATGCTCAATCAGAGTAGCATAGAATGTCCTTAGTTCCCTATTTCCCAATACCAGGCTAAAAAAAATAAGTAAAATAATTAATAATAGACTATATCTTTAAAGGATTCAAGAAATAAATTGTCTCCAGAGAGAAGCACAAAGGGAAGAATCAAGTCAAGAAGAATACACAGTCTAAAGAGACAAGTCAGACTTAGTTATAACACATGTGTTGAAATTATTAGACAAGGAATTTAAAATAACTATGACTACTATGTTAAAGGATTTACTGGAAAGGTAGACAGAATGCAAGACCAAAATGGTAATTTCAGCAGGGGAATGGAAAGTATTAGAATTAAATGTAAATACAAGAAAAAAACAGTAACAGTAACACATCTGAAGAATGCCTTTAATGGGCTCATCAGTGGCAGCTGTGGAATCAGTGAACTTGAAGATAGATCAGTAGAAATTACACAAATTGAAATGCAGAGATTAAAAAAGAATAAAAAATTAAATGAGAAATTCAAGAAATTTGGAATATTATTAGATGGTGTAATATAGGTGTAATTAGATTTTGAGATGGAGAATGGGGACTAAGAAACATTTGAAGAAGTAATTGCCAAAATATTCCAAAATTAACTATTGATACCAAGCCACAGAACCAAGAATCTTAGAGAACACCAAACAGGATATATAAAATTTTAAAAAGAATCATATCACACCCAGGCATATAAAATTCAAACTGCAGAAAATCAGGCAAAAATAAAATATTGAAGGCAGCCAGGAAAAATGGGTGAAGGAAATATCTTAAAACTGAAATGTACAATAACCAAACCAAACCAAACTGAACAAACCCCCAAAAACAATACCCTCACTGAATGGATTCAATACCAGAAGACAAACATCCAATTAAAAAGTGGGAAAAGAACCTGAACAGACACTTCTCCAAGGAAGATATACAGAGGGCCCAGAGACATATGAAGGGATGCTCAGCATCACTAGCCACCAGAGAGACAGAAGTTAAAACCACAATGAGATACAATTTCACACCAGTCAGAATGGCCATCATAAACAAATCAACAAACAACAAGTGCTGGTGAGGATGTGGAGAAAAGGGAACCCTAGTACACTGTTGGTGGGAATGCAGACTGGTGCAGCCACTGTGGAAAATAATATGGAATTTCCTGGGAAAACTAAAAATGGAACTGCCTTTTGACCCGGCAATTCCACTGCTGGGACTATACCCTAGGAATCCTGAATCATCAATTCAAAAGAACCTATGCACCCCAATGTTCATAGCAGCACAATTCAGAATAGCCAAGTGCTGGAAATAGCTTAAGTGCCCATCAGTAAATGAATGGATCAAAAAACTGGGGTACATTTACACAATGGAATACTATGCAGGAGAAAGAAAGAAAGAAAGAAAGAAAGAAAGAAAGAAAGAAAGAAAGAAAGAAAGGAAGGAAGGAAGGAAGGAAGGAAGGAAGGAAGGAAGGAAGGAAGGAAGGAAGGAGGAAAGGAAGGAAGGAAGGAAGGAAAGAAAGAAAAAGAAAGAGAACTTCTGGCCAAGATGAAGGTGTAGGTAGATAAACTTTGGCTTCTCGCACAACCAAAAGAAGGACAACAACAAATTTAAAAACAAAAAATAACCAGAACTGTCAGAAAACCAAACCGTATGGAAGTCAGACAACCAAGGAGCTAAAGAAGAAACATTCATCCAGACCGGTAGGAGGGGCAGAGATGGGCAGCCGGGGCAGAGAGGATGTGTGGCAAGGTGGCACCTGGAGGACCAGGTGGGCAAGGTGGTGGCTGGTGAACCAGGTGGTTCCACATTTGTGTGTGTATAAACCAGGAGGAGCAGCTGGGGATCGAGACAGACCGTGCAATCCAGGGTTCCAGTACAGGAAAAGAAAGCCTCAAAACCTCTGGCTGTAAAAACTTGTGTGGGATGAAGCAATGGGAGAAACTCCCAGCCTCACAGGAGTGTTCGTTGGAGAGGCCCACAGGGTCCTAGAATGTACACAAACCCTCCCACCTGGGAATCAGCACCAGAAGGGCCCAATTTACTTGTGGGTAGTGGGGGGAAGTGACTGAAACCCAGTGGAGAGTCGAGCAAGCGGCATTGCTTCCTCTCGGACCCCTCCCCCACAGACAGCATCACAACACAGTGACCTGGGTTGCTCTGCTCTGGCGATTACCTAAGGCTCCCCCCTTCCAACATAAGAGGCACGCTGAGACAAAGAAATATGGCCCAAATGAAAGAACCGATCAAAGCTCCAAAAATAGAACTAAGCGATGAAGAGTTAGCCCACCTGTCAGATGCACAGCTCAAAACACTGGCAATCTGGATGCTCACAGAAATGGTTGAGTATGGTTGCAAAATGGAGGAAAAAATGAAGGCTACATAAAGTTAAATAAAGAAAAATAAACAGGGAACCAACAGTGAAGGGAAGGAAACTGGGAATCCAGTCAAGAATTTGGGACAGAAGGAAGAAATGAGCATTCAACCACAATAGAATGAAGAAACAAGAATTCAAAACAATGAGGAAAGGCTTAGGAACCTCTAGGACAACTTTAAACATTCCAGCATCTGAATCATAGGGGTGCCATAAGGAGAAAAGGAAGAGCAAGAAATTGAAAACTTATTTGAAAAATGAATGAAGGAGAACTCCCCCAATTTGGCAAAGGAAGTAGACCTCCAGGAAGTCCAGGAAGCTCAGAGTCCCAAAGAAGTTGGACCCAAGGAAGCACACACCAAAGCACATCATAATTACATTACCCCAGATTAAAGATAAGGAGAGTATCTTAAAAGCAGCAAGAGAAAAGGAGACAGTTACCTACAAAGGAGTTCCCATAAAACTATCAGCTGATTTCTCAAAAGAAACCTTGTGTGCAAGGAGGCGCTGGAAAGAAGTACTCAAAGTCATGAAAAGCAAAGACCTACATCCAAGATTACTCTATCCAGCAAAGCTATCATTTAGAATGGAAGGGCGGATAAAGTGCTTCCCAGATAAGGAAAAGTTAAAGGAGTACATCATCACCAAGCCCTTATTATATGAAATGTCAAAGGGGCTTATCTAAGAAAAAGAAGATAAAAAACTATGAACAGGAAAATGACAACAAACTCACAACTATCAACAACTGAACCTAAAGAAAACAAAAACAAACTAAGCAAACAACTGGAACAGGAACAGAATCACAGACATGGAGATCAGAGAGAAGGGGAAGGGGGAGAATGGGGGAAAATGGTACAGGGAATAAGAAGCCTAAATGGTAGGTACAAAATAGACAGGGGGAGGTTAAGAATAGTATAAGAAGTGGAGAAGACGAAGAACTTATATGTATGACTCATGGACATGAACTAAGGGGGGGTGCTAGAGGGAGGTTGGATGCAGGACAGAGGGGAATGAAGGGGAGAAAAATAAATGGGACAACTGTAATAGCATAATCAATAAAATATATATTTAAAAAAGAAAGAAGAAACGAACTCCTACCCTTTGCCATAACATGGATGGAACTGGAGACTATTATGTTAAGTGAAGTAAGCCCGGTAGTGAAAGAAAAATACCATATGATCTCACCTGTAAGTGGTACCTAATCAACAATGAACAACT